TACTGTGCTCTCCGTGTGACGTTGAGGGGACTGTGGAGCTTGAGGGTCTGTCAGTGAGATAAGAAGCAACCTGGAAAGAAAGAAAAGAAGGGGCTGGGGTTGTGGCTCAGTGGCAGAGCACTTGCCTAGCATGTGAGGCACTGGGTTCCATCCTCAGCATCAGTACAAATAAAACAAAGGCATGCTGTCCATCTACAACTACAAAATAAAATTTTTTTTAAGGATTTGGGTGTCAGCAGACAAGGTTTCGAGGACAGGCACTGCCTCTAGACAACTGGACAAGCAACGGCTACTTACTCACTTGTCTGAGCCTGAGCTACTCTGTGTGTGTGTGTGTGTGTGTGTGTGTGTGTGTGTGTGTGTTAGGGTAAAGAAACTCCTGGTGGTGGGAAGGGGGCGGGAGTGTTACTCTTCAACTTCCATGAGATGGACTTGTCAACTGTAAAGTGCTTGACCTATGGCACCAACAGAGGGCTGTGAGCTTCTCATCTAACCTTCCTGGGGGTCTCCAACTAGTAGCTCATGGAAGACAGATTTGTTTAGTGGAACTTAATGTGACCTAGAACAAGGTGTAAGCATGTTGGCTGTTGGCAGTTGGCATCCACTGGCTGGTGGCTTCTGGGGTGGGTTTTGGTAAGTCACTCCTCCATCATGTCTGGCCTCTGCTAACAGGAAACCGTGCTGAGCCTGTGGTGGGAGGGGGTTACTGCCAAACAGCCAGCCAGTGAGTACTTGTTGTCCAGGGCTGGGAGGTGTGTGACGGTACAGACAGACTAGAAGAAACTCTGTGACTGGGCATGACAGCACAGGCCTGTGATCCCAGTGACTCAGTTCAAGACCAGCCTCCGCCACTTACCAAGGTCCTATGCAAATTAGAGAGACCCTGTCTCTAAATAAAATATAAAATATATGGCTCAGCGGTAGAGCGCTCACCTAACACATGTAGGGCACTGGGTTTGATCCTTAGACCACATAAAAATAAATAAAGGCATTGTATCCAACTACAACTTAAAAAAAAAATTTAAAAAGAAAGGGCTGGGGATGTGGCTCAGTGGTAAAGGGCCTCTGAGTTTGATCCCCAGTTTGGTACTGGAGCAGAGGAGACATGGCCCTCAGGAGCATTGATAGAGAGGACATAGAAGTGAGGCAGAAATATGATACACGCTTAGCACAGTGTCTGATGTAAAGTTAGTGCTCAATAAATGGTAACCCTTCATCATCATCACCACTGCCAGGGAGAGGGAAGATGTTCAGGGAGGAAAAGAGCACAGGCTGAGACTAGAGTAAGTAGAGGACATGGAGGAGGCCAAACAAAGACCCTGGAAATGATAGAATTAAAGTTAGTTGGGTGGCTAGGTTCCCTGGAAGGGGACTTTCCATACTTCCTGGGAGGAGCCGGGCAGCAGGAAACTGTTGATCCTTTATAAGAGAAATGACTGTCCACTGCCACCCATGACAAGCAGGTGGGCAGTTGGCAAGGGGGACATACGCAGGTGATATCTGCCTGCCCTGGGGGCCAGACTCTGACTAAAATTGATCCTGAGTAGGAATGTCCTGATCCTGGCGCTCTCTCTGAAATTCCATGAAGGTCTCTAGCAAGAGAGTGGGGACCAGACCTCAGGGCCTGTAGCTTCCTGCCCGCATGTCATTTGTCTCTCTTTCTGCATCTTCTCTTCAGTGTCCTTTCTGTCACTATCAGGGAAAATCATTAGTATGCTAATCTAGCTAGCCATCATTTTAAAACTGACCTTTGCTAACCTGCCTTTGCAATTTCAGGAACTATGTTTGACTTCTCTAAAAGTAACCTTAAATTGTAGTCTTGTAAGAATTCCAGAGCTGTATCCTTCACTCCTTCTTCTAATGAGGTTATGACCAAATGCTCATTATAATTGCTTTAGACTCCTTTTAATTTTCAAGCTTATTAATCATAAGAAGAGTTATTTAAAATTGCATAAATTAATCTTAGATTAAAAGCCCATCAAAGCCTCGAAACAATTAAGAATAAGTAGGATTTCCCTGGGGCAGCAAGTTTTATTTTAATATTGTAGTCAGGTGGATATCAGAACCTTGAAGTATGGTAGTGATTAATGTATGCAAAATTTAAATGAGATTTTTTAAATGGCAAATCTAAATCACATATTGACCTAACTGTAGGCTTTAACTGCATTGTCTGTCATATATTTAAACTGTTTACTAATCAACATTTTAATTACCGTGTATGCTGGCAAACCCTAGGACAAATAAAATCCAGCATTTTAAAATGTCGCTGGGAAGTCTGGTGCCCAAAATAAGAAGACTCCACTGCTGGGAGGCCCGAGGAAGCAGCTCAGACCACGGCCCAGTGCAGGCCTCACATGGGGGCTCTGAAAGCTACTGGGCCCCAGCCCTCACCTTGAGGCTCCCCACCCATCCCTCAGGCTGCCCCTGGGTCTCCTTGGAAGTTTATTCACATTTAATTAGGGAAAACTTCCTTTCTATATTTAAGTCTCAATTGCCAAACATTATTTATTTTTTTAAATATATATTTTTAGTTGTAGGTCGACACAATACCTCTATTTTATTTTTAATGTGGTGCTGAGAATCGAACCCAGTATCTCACATGTGCTAGGCGAGCACTCTACCACAGAGCCACAACCCCAGCCTGCCAAGCATTATTTAACCTGTGTAGTTCTGGGGTCACTAGGCTTTCCCCTCATGTACATGATAGGGAGATAAGATATTTCCAGAAAGACTTTTTCTTTTGGGGTGAGGGTGCTAGGGATTGAACCCAGTGCCTTGTGCATGCAAGGCAAGCACTCAACTAACTGAGCTGTATCTCCAGCCCCCAGAAAGACATTCGATTTGACCTTAGCCTCTTGTCTGACCTCCCGACCCTCCTTGGTCACTGCAGGGGTGACCAGGCTGTGCCCCAGAAGGTGTCCATAGCTGCGTTATATTTGGAAAGAATCCCTCTATTTTACACATACCATTTCATTATCAAAGGTATACAGGTAAGAAGGCCACCTGGAACAAATTATTTCACCCTCAGAAGTTAAGTTGCCAGTTGATGGAAAGGGACAGTAGTGTCCAACCCACTGGTTCTGTTTTGGGTAAAGTCCAAACAAGATAAAGCATGAGTGGTAGAAAACAATAAGTCCCCTCCAAAAAATATTTATTTATTTATTAAGAATTAATAAATTATTTTAAAGAATTTAACCTTTATTTTTTATTAATTTGTTTTTTATGTGGTGCTGAGGATCGAACCCAGTGCCTCAACAGTTCTAGGCAAGCACTTACCACTGAGCTACAATCCCAGCCCCCAAAATGTTTATTCTTGCCCTAAAAATAAATGTATATTTATTTTTTAATATTTATTTTTTTAGTTGTAGTTGGACACAACACCTTTATTTCACTTGTTTATTTTTGTATATGGTGTTGAGGATTGAACCCAGGGTCTCACACGTGCAAGGCAAACGCTCCACCACTGAACCACAACCCCAGCCCAAATGTGTATTTATTAATGATTCTTTTTTGTTGTTGTTTTGTTTCATACCAGGGATTGAACCCAGCACTTAACCACTGAGCCACATCCCCAGGCCTCTTTTATATTTTATTTAGAGACAGGATCTCGCTAAGTTTCTTAGGGCCCCTCTAAGTTGCTGAGGCTGGGTTTGAACTTGCAATCCTCCTGTCTCAGCCTCCTGTGCCGCTGGAATTACAGGCATGTTCCACTGCACCCAGCCAATTAGTGTGTTTCTAAAAGTAGTCTGTAATTTATAGTTAAAATTCAGATAGTACAGAAGGATATACCACAAGAAGTTAGTCTTTTTACAAACCCCAAACTCCTACCCCTCCCCCTAGCCCTGCTCTGCAGAAATAAGCACTGGTAATAGTAGCTTGTGTACCCTAGAATCTTTAATTCTTTTTATTATGCTCTTTGCTTTTTCAATGAATATGCCTTTGAAATCCTTCCACATCATATAAAGGTCTGCTTTATTCTTTTTAATGGCTGCATGATACTCCACAATATGGATGTGCCATATTTGTTTAACCAGGACCCTGTCATAGAACATTCTGACCATTTCAGATTTTCACTGTTCAAACAGTGACTTTGTGTATCCTAACTGGATGCGAGAATGCTATTCTTCCTCATCTCTTCAGATACTAGATTATAAGACTTTAATCTTTGCTAACCTGATCAGTGGTAAATGGTATCTAGTTATTATTTAATTTGTATTGCTTTTATTAAAATGAGAATGAACTATATTTTTTCTTATATTCATTGGCCATTTTTTTTAACATCCTTTGCCTATTTTTCTGTAAGATGTGTTATCTCCTCTTTCATCTTTCTGAGCCTTGCTTTCTCCTTCTAGAAAGTGAGGGGGTACATGTACAACCTCCAGGGCTCCTTCCCACACCTGCGGTCCAGGTCCAAGATCCAGCATCCTCTGGGCAGCTGTAACGCCACCAGGCACCGTCTGCTCCCAACCTTTTTTGGGCCAGTGCTGAAGCTGCATAGCCAGTAGCTGGGGAAAAACTACAAGAGGGTCCTTTTCTTTTCCCTTTGTTTGGTGTATATCTTCCTTTTTTAAAAGAGCAGGCTTGGAAATTGCAAGACAGAGCTGGGATTGAACTTCCTTTAAAGCTGCCTGTAGACATCAGGAATATTTATTTTCTCTATTTGTTTTCAGCCTGGGAAGACTGTGTGGTTTTCTCAACATTGTCCTGATGGAGCCCTGACCAGCAAGCGTGCAATGCCCCTAGCCCTAATGTGCCATTAATGATAGGTTAATGTACAGTATAATGTTTTTGGGACTACGGGTTCATTACACTTCTGAGTGTGAGGTCTTTCCACAGAGCGCCCAAGGTCCCATTGCATTATATCATGCAATAAAAATACCCTTTTCATATCACACACTAATAAACTGTATTTGAAATGCTGTCTGAGGGCACTGCCGTCTTGTCTGTAGGCTGTGCACGGATGCAACAGTTGGGCTTCCTTTTTCTATTTTGTGTTTTAGTTACACGCAATTCTGAACCCAGGAAAGTCTGCTCCTTCTGGGTGTAAATGGGGAGCAGGCTGGACCTTGAGGCCTGGGTCTCTGGGAAGAGGTCACCCACTAAGTGTCGAGTCCTGGATACATGGTGGGCAGGGCTCTGGATGCTCCACCAGCCATCTCACCACCTCTGCATCTGTGAGGAGAGCGGGGCACTGGACATGTATAAAAGTTCCCTTGGAGAAGGATGTGAGGAGCCCTGGAAAGTTTAGGCCACTCATCATCGTGTGCCTGGAGATGGTTCTGTGACAGCCTGTGTATTGGGACTTCTGTACCCAGTGAAAGGAGGTGGCAGGTATGCTGTGTCATTGAGAATGGAGTCCACAGGACTTCTGGGGGTCAGGGGGGACTTATTCCCCGCCTACCCAGGCGCCTATATTGCGTGGATAGGAGATCATCTCCCGCCATGGGAGCAGGCGGCTGGTGCCAGTGTCTTCTCTTGAGAGGCACATTGTCACTTGGGCCTTCCAGAAGTTGCCCTCTCAGCCATCAGCTGGCATCACAGGTGATTTTGAAGTTTTGATGCGTCAGAAGAAGAGATCCTTTTACACTCAACAGGAGAAAGAGCCTCAGAATCGAGGAATAAGGCCAAGACTAGAAGATTGGAGGACTTTGGGTCTCCTATTTCCCATTTTCTCTAGAGCAGACCATAGTGTCTGTAGCCTTGTTTTCTAGGGGAGTTACTTCTACTGGACATCGGGTGTGGCACAAGAGTGACAGTAACATCCAAGAAGCAGGGTTTGAGTTCTGGCCCTGAGACTTGGAGCTCCCTCCTTGCTTCCTCAGACGGCAGCGACTCTGTTTGTAAAACAGATTCACATTTAACTTCTGATGGGACTTTGAAGGCCACATGAAGCCCTGGCCTGCATGAGTGCTCACAGCTGCCACGTTGCATGGCTATTCTTGCCATGTCAGAATAGAAGGCACAGACATGGAGCCTGTCCACCTTAAATCCCAGCTCCACCTCGGCCAGATCACATAACGTCTCTGAGCCTAGTTTTCAAATGAACAAACTGAGGGAGTAGCAGCAGCACCATCCAGCCATTTCTTGGGTGGCCATGCCACCTGAAGACAGAGAAGCTCTGGTAGGAACACCTGTTCAGATGCTGCTGCTTATGAATATGGACACTGCTTCCTCCAGACCATGTTCAAACTGGGTTACCACTGACTAGATAGCCTCAGAGCAGAGCCAGTAAGGGCAGCTCCTAGAAACATCCAGTGATCTGCCCCTCCCCTGCGAGAGAGCATGCCAGTGCCGCAGTATAGACTCACAGTAGCACAAAGCAGTAAAAGGGCAGATCCTACCAACCACTCTTCATAACAAGCAGCAGGGCAGGTCAGGAGCAGGTAGAGCCTGCTCAGTGAGAAGAGTGTCGGCCCCTGCTCGTGAGGTCAGTGCTGGGGTGCTTAGAGTAGTGGCTCAAGAATGTATTTGCTGGGCTGGGGATGTGGCTCAAGCGGTATCGGGCTCGCCTAGCGTGCAGGTGGCCTGGGTTCGATCCTCAGCACCACATACAAACAAAGATGTTGTGTCCGCCGAGAACTAAGAAAAAATAAATAAATGTTAAAATTCTCTCTCTGTGTCCCCCTCTCTCTCTCACTCTCTCTTTAAAAAAAAAATTTTAAAAAATTTTTAAAAAAAGAATGTATTTGCAAAAGGAAGTTAAGATCAAAGGAACCGCTAGACACGGTGGTGCACACCTCTAATCCCAGTGGTTCAGGAGGCTGAGGCAAGAGGATCTCGAGTTCAAAACCAGCTCAACAATTTAGTGACGCTCTAAGCAACTCAGTGAGACCTTGTCCCTAAATAAAATACAAAAAAGGGCTGGGGATGTGGCTCAGTGGTTTAGCACCCCTGGTTTCAGTCCCCAGTGCCAAAGAGAGAGACAGAGAGATATCAAAGGAACCTACCAAGGGGTTGAATTGTCCTGTAGAGCAAAGACAACCATGGAAAGGAAAAAACAAGTTGCTGAGACCTTTCACAAAAGGCTGGACCCTCTGGTTTTAGGCAAAGTCCCCTCCATTGTTATGGGAAGAGTATTTAAATTTCAAGGGTATTAGTTTTTCTTTTAGGGGTACAGGCTTTCACTAAACCTTTTGTTTTCAAACATAGGGACTTTCAAAGACTTGAGTAAACCTCCCAGGGGTTAAATCTGTCTTGGGGGCTGCCAGGACTTGAAAAATGTTACCCTGTATCAAGAAAACCAGAAGTGACAAGTTCATTTAAAAAGCCTGGTTTGTCATTGTTTATCTAATTTTCAGAGTTGACACAGAAAATTAAACCAGCTGACACTCACTCCCTGACCATCTCTGGCTCATTTCCCTGGTCCTTTCCTACCTGACCTTGCCACCACAAATGCGCCAAACCCAAAATATAAAACTTCCCACAGAGTTTCTGAAATGCCCTGTAGCCATTCCAAGATTATGTCATAGGATGTCATCCCTAATGTTATTAAAAAACAAGTCGAGGTTATAAATCTACTCTGCAAGGTATTTCTTTTTCTTTTTTTTTTTTCCTTCCCCTTCCACTTGGGCCATAAATCTCAGAAGTAATCAAACTCTCTGCAGAGGAAGCCAAGATAAACTGGGCCCCTAAGTGGCCCCATAAGTCTTTATAGAATCCAGAAGACAGCAGGTCTGCCTTACCTGTGACGTCACACAGTGCTCCACAGCAGACTGTAGGAGGGCACTGGGCAGAGTGAGAGCTTTCGCCATGCACAGTGCCAGCACTCTGTAATTCAGCACCAGTGGTGAATGAGCTGCTTTATGAAGCAAGTTCAGATAAATGAAATCATCCTACATAAAACCAAAATTTTTTAAAAAATCAAACAAGTAGCAGGTCCACTGAAATGTATCATGCACTCCCCCAACCTCCTAAACAGATTACATGCATCAGGATTTAGCTAAAAAACAAACCAACCACTCCCTTTAGATCATTGTTATGGATGTTGTCTTGCTGTATTCTGCTGCTGTTCTGGTGTCTCCTGGTGTTGTGGTGCAGAGGGCATATGTCCCCAAGCCAGTTTTTTGTTTTTGTGTTGGTTACATAGTTTTGGTATTAGATGAAATGTACAAGTCTTAGTGTAACTTCAGATTCATAGTCTTAGAAAAGGTTGAAAGATTTCAGGGGCAGGTAGATGGGAACTTCTAGATCTGGAAATAGGCCATTTACTAAACAGGAATATGATCATTTTGCTCTTGAGTTGGTTACTAGGGTGGACTTCAAATTGCTGCTGTTTTGTTATTTTCTGAGGAGAACAAATAGCCATGAATGGGCCAGATAAAGTCCTGGTGCTCTAAACCCAGACTTAGGTACAGGTACATAGACGCTTCTCAGTGCTCCAATGTGAACATCACTGAACCAATGTCTCCAGGAAAACCAGAGCCTAGCTACCAGCAGAAGCCAGCTTCTAATCAAGTAACTGTCGTTCTTAAAGTAAAATAGACTTGGGTTTCATAAGGCCCTGCAGTGAAGGACCCAGCTCATATGTAAATAGATAAAGTGTGGGCCCTCAGTCCCTCATCCTGAGCACAGCCAGGGATCCCATCCCAGAAGACAAAGGTCACCCATTCATTGCCACAGAAAACACATTCCCAGCTCCTGTACATTTAATTTTCTTCAACATTACCTTGCAAACCGCAGTAAATCAATAACAGAATAGTTAAGTACCACAGGTTCTTTGTGTTTTGTTTTAGAAAATAATGCTCAAGGCCAAGATCGGATTCTATTGATGATTTTTATTTGCAACCAGGATACAAAATGACCAGAATTTTCAAACAGTTTGGCTTCCTTTTTATGGATTTCCTTTTTTTAAAAAAAAGCAAGGGCAGTTTTGAAAGGAGAAACTCTAGTTTCTGCTATTAGTTGTTATCTAGTAACAGGTATTTTTCAATCCTGTATATTACGGATACATTCCTGGCGGGGGCGGTACTGGGGATTAAACCTAGGGGCCCTTGTCCACTGAGCCACATCCCCAGCTCTCTTTTGTATTTTATTTAGAAACAGGGTCTCACTGAATTGCTTAGTAACCACTAAGTTGCTGAGGCTGGCTTTGAACTCATGATCCTTCTGCTCAGCCTCTTCAGCCACTAGGAATACAGGCGTGGGCCACCACGCCTGGCTACAAATGCATTCTTTTTTCACATTTTCCAAAGGGCCCCCCATCCAGCTCCCTGGACCCCCAACCCCACAGCACTTGTTCACTGAATTGAGTGAGGTGCCAAAAAATCTGGAGCATCATAGGTGAAAACAGGAAAAAGGTGGTGCTTCACTGAATGATATTTACCCCAAATGATGATGTCTATTGTCCATAGCTGTTTTTGTTTCCTCTTGTGCTTTTTGTTGGTTTGATAGCATCAGACCTTTTCCAATTTAACTTCAGTATTTGTGTGAATGGTTTATTTCTCCCTGTTAAGAAACTAGAAAAACGGTTACTAAGATGGATTTCACGTGCGTAGCAGCTTTGATTTAATGGGCTGCTCCTTCAAATAAGATGAGACAATGGATATGAAATGCTGTAAAAAGTTAAGTGTGATACCAGGGCTCAAAATCCATGGCCTGGCTGCCAGGGTATGTTTTGTCCCAGCTCCTTGGCACCTTGCCAGTCCACACCATTAACACCCTTCCCTGCGCCCACATCCTCGCTCTGTATTTTCAGATACATTGGTTTCATATCATTCATATGGTAAAACCATCCTCTTCTTAAATTTAGGCCGGATTTGAGATTATTTGTCCTTTTATCATTCCTGAGGGTGTTTACTTATATCTTCTCTTCACCAATTTTGTCAATTTTTTTTTATTTTACCCATCTCTTCTAAAGAGCAAGTGTTTTATTCAAGTGCTCAGTTCTGTATCTTTCTCTAATTCCTTTATGTTCTTACCTCTATCATTTGTTGGCTAATATTTTCTTTAGACTTTTTTTTGTTCTATTTATAAAAACTATTGAATTGAACATGTAATTCATAAACCTCTGATCTTTTTCCCTAATATATGTCTACAATTCTATAAATTGCCTCCTAAGTATGGTTTTAGTGGCATCCCACAATTGTTTATATATAGCTTTTAGGTTTTGTTTGTTGTGGTGCTGGGGATTAAACCCAGGGCCCTGTGCATGCTAGGCAAGTGTTCTACCACTGAGCTACACTCCCATCCCTTTCCATTTTTATTGAGACAGGGCTTTGCTAAGTTGCCCAGGCTGGCCTTGAACTTGTAATCCTCCTACCCTTCAAGGATTACAGGTATGCCCCACCACATCTGGATGTCATTCAGTTTTAAGTACAGTGGAGCATCCCTAATTAGGAAATCAGAAATGACCCAAAATCCAAAACTTTTTGAGTTAATAAGGTGCCACAAGTGGAAAATTCCACACTGAACTCTTGACATATCATAGTCAGAATGCAAGTGCACCAAAATATTGTTAAAATTACCTTCAGGCTCTGTGTATGTAGTGTATATGAAACATAAATGAATTTTGTGTTTATACTTGGGTTCCATCCCTAAAATATCTAATTTATGCATGTGCAAATATTCCAAAAATCAAAAAAAGGCTAAAATATGAAACACCTCCAATACCAGGCATTTCAGATAAAAGGTATTCACCCTGTTATTTCCAGCTTCAATTAGGACTTCTTTTTTTGACCCACAGATTATTTAGAAGCACTTTTTGTTGTTGTTTCTAAATATTGAAAGATAAACTGGGGCCCTGAGTAGGGCCAGGCTAATTGATTGAAAGATGTTTCATTATCTTGTGACTGTTGTGGTCAAAGAACATGGTGTGTATAACATCAGGTCTGTTATTTGTTGAAACTCAGTACATGGTCATTTTTTTCTGTGCTCTCTCGTTGCTTAAAAACAACATATTTTCTCCAATTCTTTAATGCACTGTCCTATGAACATCCCTCAGATAAACCTTGTTAATTGTGTTGCTCTAATACTCTGTAGCTCTATGATTTCCTGCCTGCTTTATGTATCAATTTCTGAGAGAGGTGTGTTCAGCTCCTTCAAACTCTTGGTGTGGCTTTGTCCATTTCTCCTTGCATTTTTTTCCTTCTTTGCTTTACATGCTTTAAGGCTGTGATGTCAGGCGCTGCATCAAAACATTGTATCTTCATTGTAAAGTATTTTTTATCTTTATGTAATAACTTTCTTTAGTATATTTGTTTTAAATTTTTCTTTTGTCTGATATTAATATAGCT